CAGTATTATTTGATACATCTAATCCTTGTATATTGCAACACTACGGTCCTTCTAATCCTTGCAAACACGTCGTGCAGCGTGCTCTGTCGTATAGCGTGCTCTTACAAACGGAAATCTGGAAATCGAGGAAATCTCAAAACGAGGCTCTGCCGCGAGAAAGGTTTGGCAGTCTGGTACGGACTTGATATTATATCAATCACATTGTGCGTTACAAACTTACACTGAATAAGCGCAAAGAACACATATCAGGTCAGGTGTAACCAGTGAGCCAGATGACTTGTGAATCATTTTTCGACCTCATCAAACAGGGCAGTCTGTGACGTCTTAGTTAAGGTCATGCTGCCTACACCTCGCCATAAAATATAGAAATACGATGTTATTAAAGTTTAAATTTAAAATTAACTTGTAAATACCATTTTCTTATGAAACAAGGAATTGAAATTCAGTGTAACCATAGTTGTTCGTGGTGTCTCTTTTCATTTTCACACGGGAAAATTCGGATCTGCTGAAAAGTAGGTCATTGTCTGAATAGGTTAATGAGACTCATGTTTAGGTTTGAGGGCGACACCAGAAATGGGCTTCACACATGTAGGGAATCGAACCCTCTTTCAGCGTGACGAGCGGACGCTTTAACCATTAGGCTACCCACCGCCCCTCCGTTCCATGTGTTAGAAGTATTAATGGTCAGGTAAAATGCGCAGTTTAGGTAAATTAGCCTATTCTATGTCAACGACAAAAATATACATTTTAAGAAATGATATTTGAAACTTGAATTTTAGAGTATTTTTAAAGTTGAAAAAAATATCACATTATAACGTATTACTTCATACGGTTTGAAACATGTAAATGCACGTCCAGTGCTTTTATCAACCTTGCAGCCTCTGATCAACGGTATTTCAACAATGTCAAGTGGCAGTTTGCTACCTTGTCTACAGACTATTCCAGGTTGTGTTTTGTACAGCGTGACTGCTGTGTTTGTCTATCTTTGAAAGTTAATGGATTTTAAAACGTTGGAGACAGAAAGTCGCCAAGAAGAAAACACAGGCTAGCGAAGAGATCGATGTGACACCTTTCACTGATCGAATCAAATGGTTACACAAAAGTGCATGCTTTCTGAATCAGAGTTTAGTCGCTTCCATTATGTGGCGAGGCATGCCGGTGGTGGAGGTCCAGCTGATTTTCCGGCTTAAATGATCCAAAAGTGGCCTTGACCTAGGCTGAGATCACTTCTTTGAGTGACGTTTTAGAAGATGGGAAGTACAATATAGAACGAAATTCACGGATAACAACTTGTTTTATGTCGTGAGTGCGTAGTTTCGATACATGCTTGACAACAGTACTCGAATTTGTATCGAAACGTTGCACTCACGAAATAAAAGAAGTTGTTATCCATAAAGTTTGTTCTATATCAGGCTGAGATCACTTTAGAGAAAGAAAAGAAGAAGAAGAAGAAATATAATTTATTGCTGTGTCACATGCTGAATTACAATAAAATGCAGTTTATTGTTCCTGGGATTTAAAATCAGCATCCGGCCATAAAGGTCTATGATACGCAAATACCATAGTTATATAAAAACATTGATAATAAAGTGACTTAGAGTGACTTGGACCAAGGATGAGATCACCCGAGAGTGACATGGACCAAGACTGAGATCACTCTAGAGCGACTTGGGCCAAGGATGAGATCACTCTAGAGTGACTTGGGCCGAGGCGGAGATCACCCGAGAGCGACATGGGCCGAGGCGGAGATCACCCGAGAGCGACATGGGCCGAGGCGGAGATCACTCTACAGTGACTTGGGCCGAGGCGGAGATCACTCTACAGTGACTTGGACCGAGGCGGAGATCACTCTACAGTGACTTGGGCCAACCCTGAGATCTCTTAATGTCACTTGGACTTGGCTGAGATCACTCTAGAGTGACTTTGACCTAGGATAAGAACACGTCAGTGTGATTTGGACCTAGGCGGAGATCACTGTAGGATGACTTGGTCCTAGGATGAGATCGCACTTGAGTGACTTGGAGTAAGGCTGAGATCACTCCAGAGTGACTTTGACCTAGGATAAGAACACGTCAGTGTGATTTGGACCTAGGCGGAGATCACTGTAGGATGACTTGGTCCTAGGATGAGATCGCACTTGAGTGACTTGGAGTAAGGCTGAGATCACTCTAGAGTGACTTGTACCAAGGTTGGGATCACTAGAGGATGAGTTGAAGCTGTGCTGAATCGACCCCAGGTGACTTGGGCCAACTGTAAATCTGAGAGCACTTTTGAGACACTTTGGCCAAGGCGGATGCTCAAGCAACTCATTAAAGTGTGGTTGCACTCCGTATGACAAAACATTGCAGCACTGTCAGCAAAGTCAGTGTAATAATGTTTGATAACGCATTGAAAGTGGATCCCACAGTATATTGTCTCCAAATGGCACCGGTAAGAGGAATGGCGCAAACACGTACTGCCCGTGCAAGATGGAAGAAGTCGTTATTGACCAACGAGGTGACTGATCAGCGGATGTGAAACAGCAGAGTTTTAAAGTGTAGGATTTCTTTCAGTGTGAAGAGGAAAGAGCAAAAAATAGGTTATGCCATAAGGAAATGCTTGACACGTACTTCTAAAGCTCTCAATATATCTCCTAACAAGCTGACGGAACTCGATCGGGGAAAGCAGGTGGGGAATATGTCAACACCAGGAGGGGGCCATATCAAAATCATGTAGGGTTGATAAACTTTTCAAAAACATCAAGCCAATCGATAAACTGCAATGGTTTGTAAGAGGCGACTAACGGGCTCGCGTGGTCAGGCTCACTAACTTGGTTGACACGTCATTGTATCCCATTTGTGTAGATCGATGCTCGTGCTGTTGATCACTGGATTGTCTTGTCCAGACTCGATTATTTACAGACCATATAGTACAAACGTACGGTGAAATATAAAAATGAAGGCACAGAGAAACTCTGAGAGAAATAATAGGATAGTATACGTTTCTTCCCTTAGCCAGCATATTTGTTCTTGTAATATTGTATTTGGACTACATGGTTGTAAGTTTGAAAGCAGATTATAATGTATTTTTCCGTTTTAATCTCTTTGATCGAGAATATCAGTTGCATAATCTGTGGTGGTTATCAGCAAGAGCATGAAGTTTACCAATAATTGTGTCTGATTGTCCTTTTTGCCTTTGCTTCTTTAGGGTTGTACATTGGATGGTGGGTGTGGGGGTTCGTGTTGAGAGCAAATAACAACACCTTCACCCAAATTGTGACGTGGGAAGAAATGGGGTTTAAGGCCAGGAGAAGAGTACTGCACTTTTGTAGGGATGTGCTTGCAACTGTCAACCTCCTTTTGTCATTTCCGTCTGGGGCATACATACATCCATTCATTAACATTCGCGTGCAAGTTGCACCTCCAGTTTCAGATGCAAGGATGGCCTCTTTTCTTAGAAAATTGCCAATATAAATTTTGACATGGAGGAAACGGACAGTCTAACAAATATGTTATAACGGCATATGTCATTGAAAACTGGAAATATCACAGACTAGTGACCACGTACATTCCACTATCGTAAACCTTTCAAGACAGACAGACAGACAGAATTTATTCAGTAATATTGGCCAACTGGCCCATGTTACAATTGTTATTACAACACTTTTGTTGTCACGTGGTATGGAAATAGATAACTATACTTAAACACTGTTTCAAACATTTTTGGAGAATAAACGTTTCAGAAATGTTGCTATTGCCTTAACGTTATGTCTACTTTGTGAATTAAATAAATTTATCATTTGGGATTTACATACATATTTGCCATCAAGAAATCTTAAATATTTTATTCTCAAATCATTAAAATCTTGACATTGTAGTAAAATATGAAAGTCATATTTTACTTGTCCGCTGTTAGTTACTATGGTTACATAAAGTGTTCTGTCTTTCAGCATCCTTATTTCGTCTGGTTGCATTCACATTCAAATTATGTAGAGAAATTCGGAATTTAGAAAATGCCTTCAGTAACGTCTTGTCATGAAACAGGTATGTAATATACGCTTCAGGGTCAAATCCTCATTTTACAAGACTATAATTATTCAAATAATGTAAAGCTTGTACATTGCCTTGCCAATTTTGGACATAAATATCCACTAATCTTCGCTTGAACACATACAAGAACAATTTTGCATATCAAGTGTCACGCTGATAACCAGCATCGGACATAATCCGGGACCAGTATCGCTAAAGCTTACAAGGTGCAGTACGTTTATCTGCATTGAATGTTATATCACATGATCAAATTCCTCGCGTGCTACATATACTAAGGTGGCATACTCAAACTGGTCATACATTGGACAAACTAAATGATATAATCTCAAGTTCCCAATAACAACGTTGTCGTAAGTTTTATCTGTAAATAGTATAGCTATGTAATACTGACGACTGTTACAAATCATTCAGTGGCTGTCTAGTCAGGTGTTGTGTTGTGTGGGGGTTGGTATAGTGGAACCTCTTGCCAAGAGAGCTAATTCCCCAAACGACCGCGTTGTTAATATAAATATGGATTTTTTGCCAGATTCACCGTCCAACTACAAGATCTGGAAATTTGTTCTAAGATTGTACAAGTGCAGGGAAAAAGAGGGATAATTGACACATGTCACTGTATCCCAATTGCGTACAACAATGGTCATGATGTTGATCACTGGATTGTCTGGTCCAGACTCGATTATTTACAGACCACCGCCATACAGATGGAATACTGCTGAGTGCTGCCTCAAACAACCAACCAACCAGCCAGCCAACCCTTCTGTGTCGAGCTGAAACTCATAGTGTCTAAATTTCTCAGTTGTGCATATACTTTAAGCATTACATTTTATCAAGTTTCAAATATTTTATTTAACAACGCGTTTCTATCCAAATAAAAGGCCTGATCATTCGACACATAATATGGTTACAAATCATATGCCTTACATCATTAAATCTAGTTGTCTTCATGGATTTACAATCATGCATATTGTTTCATAACAAATTTATTTCTCTTGAGGTTTATATGATCACGCTCACAGGCACACACACTTGCACGCATGCACACACACAAAATAATACCTGTTCGTGCATTCTGCTATTGCTGTATGGACGATGGGGTAGCCTAGTTGTTAAAACGCTCGCTCGTCACGCCAAAGACCAGGGTTCGATTCCCCACAAGGGCACAATGTGTGAAGCCCATTTTTCTGGAGTCCCCTGCCGAGATATTGCTAGCTATAGACTATTGCTAAAAGAATGGCGTAAACTTAACTCACTCACTGACCTATTGCTGTATCTTAGCATCTACAAATGGACTGAACATTTCACATCGTGAGCCCAGAACGAACACATACAGTTAATTTATGATATCGCAGGACAATACTCCATCGAATGAGTCTTTGACTATTGGCTGGAAGCGTCTTGGAACCGAGCGATCTTGAAAGGCTTCATGTCATATTTTGGTACCTGGCCCATGGCCATGTCACTGAGAGCGTCTCCCACGACAAGTGCCAGTTTGAATCCATGGCCTGAAACACACCATATTACCATCATAATCAAAATGAGTGAGTAACAAAGATCTACTGCTTAAATTACAGTCCATATCCCAGACATAGTTCTCCAGTAATCTAAGGCAGAGTTGCCTCCCTTAGGCGTGCCAGACACAGGTGATCATGGGTTCCGAATCACAGTTTACCTGGTTGTATTGCTATGTTAGTGACCCATGAAGGGTTAGATCAATCTTCAGTAACCCATGCTTATCGTAGAGAGCATCAGGATCTGCGCTTGGTTTGTCATCGGTTCCCAGTTGTGCAGATCGATGCTTATGCTGTTGAACACTGGATTGTCTGGTCCAGACTCAATTATTTACAGACCGCCACCCCATTGCGGGAATATAGTTGTGTCCGGCGTTAAACAACAAACAAACAAAACATCTCTTGAGTCGGTAAACTGCATTTTGGGGGTAATCAAGCTACATGTATCTCCGTGGGTTAGCAATATGAAACCAGTGTTAGCCCAGACTAGTACGCACACGCACCCACGCACGTAAGCGCTCGTGGCCTTTGCTATATATTAGCGTAATAATCATAATCCTACCCATGTTTCTTGACGTTTTACCTGCATCACTCTGGGCTCCTTATTAAGACCGCCTGTAGTGGTTAGAGCGTCCGCTCGGGTTGCGGAAGGTAGCGGGTTCGATTCCCGACCGCGTCATACCAAAAGACGTTAAAATACGGTACTTGTTGGTCCCTGCCTGGCGCTCGGTATTAATGGGTACAACAAGGACTGGTCGGCTCGGAGTCAGTATAATGTGTCTGAGTGGGGTATTCATGCTTCACTGCGGCATGGTATCTCAGTGGGCTAGCACTATAAAACCAGCTTAAGTCTGGGCTAGTACAAGCAGCCGCACCTACACATACACACGCATGCACGTCGTCATATGAGCGAAATATTCTCCAGCGCGACGTTAAACCCAACTTCACCTCACCGCACCGCCATCATTAAGCTGACACACTGAAATTCGTCTACAGGGTCGTTAAACCAATCCTCTTTATCTCCATAATGGTAACCCAGCACTAACTCCGGATCCATTCCTGTAGTTCTCGCCATCTCATATAACCCACCTGGACTGCAATCGAGTCCTCGCAGCTAACAATATCTTTATAGCGAGACCCTGTTGAGACTACCTGAGAATCCGGCTGCAACGACGATGCTGTGATGCTGCGGGTGGTAGTCCATGATGAAGTCCTCATCAGGAGTCATCTGCCAGCGAAAGAGCTGATGTAATTGCATAAAAGAACACATTGGAGTCAAGTGATCGGTCTTGTCAAGACATTAAACACTGAACTGTTTGAGAGGCATTCCAGAAGTTGGTTAAGACATATTTTTTTTCATGAAACAATCTGGTTTAGTAAACAAGCGAAGCTTTGCTTTTGTGAATACCTCACCTGTACAAATACTAGTATAACACAAATAGAACACCCAAAAACTAGACAAAAGAGACAGTATGAAATAGACAAAATGAAATAAACTAAAATCATAACATTGTAAGTTTCATTAACAACATGCTTGCAATTACTTTTCAGTACTTTTCGTTAAGGTAATTGTTATTTATTATTTGGTTTAGACTGTTTTAACAATTCGTTAAGTCCAAATGAATTGGTGTTGGGACTCTATAATTTTCTTATTTTTCATTATTGGTATTTGGCGGTGTTCCGTATAACACAGTTTGGAGGCTGTGGCCATTCACATAACAGTATACATTATTTCTAACAGCAGTGTGTAATTACATGCAAAGAGATGATGAATAGCATTTTCATTGTGGTATCCACAAGCGCATTCAACATTAGTTGATATATATATATGTTGACTTTATCCTGGTTTAAATCACCGAAATCTAGAAGTTGTTAGTAATAGGAATGACAAGTGTTTATGGATGATCAATTCTTTATTGTACAATAGCGACATTTCGGTATAGATGCTTATACCGCTTACAAGCACGAAGAAACTGCTTGAAAACGGTATAAGTATCTATACCGAAACGTTTTTACAATAAAGACGTTGATCATCCATAAACACTTGTCATTCCTATGAATCACTGATACTGTGATCAGCTTGTTCTATTCATATTAGAAAGCTATAATATTTATTCAGACTTAAGATATGACCTGGTGAAAGAAGCAGCTCTATTTGAGCCATTATTTGTGAATATGGCCCTTACTGACCAGACTATATTCCTGGTGTGGAATGAGAAGTTTGTTTAACCCCTAACCGCACTGGTGTCACTAATGTTTAGGATCCGAAAAGAAAAAAAATAATTCTGTAATACTACGATATATGTTTACATGGTGTGGGTATGAATATGATCTTATCTTTTATCTTTGTATATGTGTTGTGTCATTTTACCTGTTTAAACGTTATACTTAGTCTTTTGTTGTCTCATAGACCTTTACACGTGAAGATCCGGGTTTGTAAAGTTAAAAAAGAACAATATCATGAACACAAACTTCGCTTATTAGAAGAGTCACTTGAAAATCCTAAACGTTTTTGGGAAGTAATAAAAAGTTTAAAATCCAACTTCACAGAAAATACTATTCCAAGTCATGAGTGGTACGACCACTTCAAAACCTTATTTAATGTTTCAGACCCTGAGAAAGAAGATAATGGTAACGTGTTCAGGCCTTTCTTTGATTTTATTATGAACAAAGATGTTGAAGATGAAATTACAACTGATATCCTAGATGCACCAATTTCAGAGTTTGAAATTAGAGAAAGTATACGACATCTGAAGAATGACAAATCCGCAGGAATAGACAATATTATACCAGAGTTTTTCAAGAACGCGGAAGATGTGCTTACGCCTTACCTACTAGTAATATTTAACATTATGCTCGAAAATGGAGCCTTCCCAGAAGCATGGGATACCGGTATTATAATTCCACTGTTTAAGGGTGGGGATCCAAAATTAGCAAATAATTACCGCGGTATCACATTACTCAGTATTTTTAGTAAAGTTTTCTTGTATATCATTAATAAAAGACTCGTTTTCTCGGCTGATTCGAAAGATAAAATTCACGAATCACAAGCGGGCTTTAGAGAGGGCTACTCCACCACTGACAATATGTTTATTCTTCAAAGCCTTGTACAGCGTTATATCTCACGTAAAGGTGGTACATTTTATGTTTTATTTGTAGATTTTGCTAAGGCATTCGACTCAGTTAATAGGAACAAATTATGGAAACTACTCACCCAGAACGGCTTGAGTAGCAAAATGGGAAAACTATTATGTAATATATATAACAATGTGAAAGCATGCGTGCGTAACAATGGTGTTATGTCATCAACATTTGATTGCAATATTGGTGTACGCCAAGGCTGTATACTAAGCCCATTTCTTTTCATTTTCTTTATATATGAATTAGCGTCAGTTGTGTATCAAAATTGTACAGATGGTATTCAGTTGCACCCGGACATTGTTAAGGTATTTTTGTTATTGTTTGCTGATGATGTCATCATGTTCTCAAGTACAGTGAAGGGTCTACAAAACAAATTACCTTGCTGGAAAGCCATTGCCTTGAATTTAAGCTTAATGTAAATGCAAATAAAACAAAGGTTGTTGTCTTTAAGAAAGGCGATCAATTGTCCAAATCAGAAAAATGGCTTTATAACGGAGACTACTTAGAAGTTGTTAAAGGATATAAATATCTAGGGTCCATTTTGCCAATACGTTATCATTGTATCATCATGGAAATAGTGCTGCTTTACAGGACGGAAGGTTTTTATGGGCATTTACAGTAATTTACAGAAATTGGGCAATGTAAATTTCAAAACATATTTCAAAATATTTGATACAAAAAGATAAACCAATTTTTTGCTATATGGGGCAGAGGTTTGGGGGTTTCTCGGTTGGAAGCATTGGAAAAGGTTCACTTGTACGCGTGTAAAAAGTCTTAGGAGTTAAATTAAATACCCCAAATGTGATGATCTATGGTGAATGCGGTCGCTTCCACTTTATCTAGAAGCACAGATAAAAGTGATCAAATACTGGGTAAAGCTCTTGAATATGCCTGCATCAAGATTTCCTAAGAAATGTTATAACATGATGTATTTGTTTGATACCAACGGAAAATCAAATTGGGTAACGAATGTTAGAAATTTACTAAATCATTGTGGTTTTAGTGATGTATTTTTGTCACAAAAGATTACCTGCCCAAAGTCATTTTATAATGCTTTATCGCAAAGATTAAAAGATATGTACATTCAGACCTGGAACTCATCTTTAATACAGTCGCCCAAATCCACTGTTTACAGTACTTTTAAATCTTTTTTCCACACAGAGCAATACCTACACGATATCAATCTTAGAAAATTCCACGTTTCATTATCCAGATTTATATGCTCTTCACATGATCTTATGATCGAGAAGGGCAGATATTATAATATTCCAAGAGATAACAGATTGTGCAAATTTTGTGCACTAAATGTAATTGAAGGTGAATTCCACTTTTTGCTGGTATGTCCTTACTATGCTGATTTAAGGACAAAATATCTACCACAATATTACTATTCACATCCTACCATGTTTAAATTTAATTTGATAATGAACTCTAATAATACAACTTATATTCGTAAACTTGTGATGTATATCAACCATGCTTTTGAACAAAGAAAATAACGTTTGCAAACATTGTGATTGTATGCCATTATTGTTTTTATATTTTGTACTGTAGGCCTGTGGCCTCTTCAGTAATGGAATAAAGAGATTTACAGGAATATGGCCCTTACTGACCAGACTATATTCCTGGTGTGGAATGAGAAGTTTGTTTAACCCCTAACCGCACTGGTGTCACTAATGTTTAGGATCCGAGAAGAAAAACAAATAATTCTGTAATAGTACGATATATGTTCACATGGTGTGGGTATGAATATGATCTTATCTTTTATCTTTGTATATGTGTTGTGTCATTTTACCTTTTTAAACGTTATACTTAGTCTTTTGTTGTCTCATAGACCTTTACACGTGAAGATCCGGGTTAGAATATCGATCTTCAGTAACCCATGCTTGTCGTAAGAGGTGACTAACAGGATCGGGTGGTCAGGCTCGCTGACTTGGTTGACACATGTCATCGGTTCCCAGTTGCGTAGATCGATGCTCATGCTGTTTATCACTGGATTGTCTGGTCCAGACTCGATTACTTACAGACCGCCGCCATATAGCTGGAATATTGCTGAGTGCGGCGTAAAACTAAACTCACTCACTCATAGACCTTTAGGATGGGTGCCTGTAGAATGTACACCAACTATGTTTCCATGAGCAGTATATAGGGCTCACATGACAGCCAAATAGAATAATCTTCTTCTTCATATCAATGACCATGTTCAGGGCCCTCTTCAAGGTTCGGTCTGAGGTCAATGAGCATTAGTAATTACACCTCAATAATAAGATTAAATTTGATATAGCTCCCTTGAATGCTTGGACGATTGAGCAATCCTCCAACAATTTTACACACAGAACCATCTTCTTGAGGCAAGGGAGATTACTGACTACTGGGTGGTTGGGGGTCATCTAAAAAAAGGACTGCATCTCAGACACTTCAGAGGTCTGCGTGAAAGCTGAACAACAGAACAAAAGAAATAAAAAAAACCCAAACAATGAAAATTAGTAAAATAATTTGGGCACGTTCATTGAAAACTCTGAACCATTCCAAAATATTTGTTTTAACGTGATTTACATCTGGAGTAAAGGCGATGGCCATGGCAGCAACCACACTCCAGAACACAGATCTTGATTTTGTAAAACGTTGAAGCTTTCAAAGAATTATTGGAAATGGTGGATGCAATAGAAACTCTAACCACGATACTCCAGTAGGTCTTCTTACCGTGTAGATACACTGTTCTGTGATAGATGGTGTCGGCTCCAGGCCAGGGAAATGTTCCTTTACATATGCCGTGACTCGATCGGTGACCCACTTCCCGTCTGGCTGGTCTCGTGTGTCGGGCGAGATCTCGGGGCCAGAGTGTAGTCCAAACTACATGGTTAAGAGAAGGTATTACTAGATGCCTATCTGTTTAATGAATTGGCGGATGGGATGGGATGGACCGTTGGATGAAGGGGATTGAAGGATTGGGATGGATGGATGATGGAAGGATGGGAATGCGATGGGATGTATTGATGGATGGACAGAGAGATGAAAGGATGGACGGATGAATGAATGGATGGAAGGATGGGAATGGGAAGGCATTGTGTGGGATTGATTGGATGGATGGATGGATGGGATGATGGACGAATGAAAGTACTGGGTGGGTCAAGACAAAAACAGTATTTTCTGTTACAAAACCAAAATATATTGAAGGTCTGCATCAAAGACAAAATGGATTTGTTAGAACACAAGGCCCTTGGAATAAAGACACATTACATTCTACTCCAGACTCAGGACAAACATATGCTCTAGTATTTGATTGCATATTGAAGAGTAGTCTACCTTGGCAAAACCAGGATATTCATAGCTAGGCAGCCCCCACATTTCATAAGGAGGACTGCCATAGAGTTCAGCGAAGCAGGGAAGATGGTCGGGGGAGTGGCTACCTGGATTTAGTTCCCTGCAGTAACACACTGTCACCCTCTGTATCTGAAACATATAATGCCCATATGCATCCTCTGTACTGAATATATATCCTGGGCCTACTAGCCATCACAGCTTTCATTTGAGTTGAGTTCCAATGACACGTTGTAAAGAAAGCCACACAATCAAATTAGACTGTTCCTTCCTGGAAAACAGGAATGTTACTAGTCAGTGTTACCTGTGAAGATCCGGGTCAGAATTGATCTTCGGGAACAGACAGGAGGTGATGCACAAGCCTTGAGCTATGCTGAACATATACTCAGCAGCAAAAAAACCCACGTCAGTACGAATTCAAAATTAGATAGGCACTGTAATCAAATCATTACAGAAATGGACTTAATAAGCGGATCAAAAACAATTTTTGTGTACAATATCCTGACACATCAATGAATAACTCCGCACAATTCCAAGACATTACGTGAACGTTGCAGATTACATTCAGACTCTTGACTTTAGTATCCCGTGTGACCACCACGAGCGGCAATAACTGCAGCACAACGTCTATGCATGGAGTGCACCAATCGATAAATGAAGGCCATTGACACCTGGAACCACACTCTGAGAAAGGCCTGGCGCAATAAATCGGCTGTGTTCGGCCTTGGTATGACATTATTCAGTCTCCTTTGAATTTCATCCCAAATGTGTTTAATTGGGTTTAAATGAGGACTAAGGGCTGGCCACTGCATAATGTTGACACCGTTCTGCTGTAGGAAGTCCCGCGAAGCTCTGGCAGTATGGCCCTGGGCGTTATCGTGCTGGAAAATATTGTTCCAGTGAGGTGCGAAATGTGGTATGACGTGGGATCTGAGAGCTTGGTCGATGTAGCGCACCGCTGTCTCCCTGGACCAAGGTTCTGGAACACCACAGGACCCACTCTCTGGTTCAGGCCTATTCCACCTCATACCATGATGCTTGCACCTCCTCATGAGTCTCTTTCCATAACGCATTGGTTTGAGTAACGCTGGCCAAGTCGTCGCCATATTCTTGTTCAGCCATCTGCAGTTGATATGCAGTACCGACTCTCATCTGTGAACAGAACAGTTCTCCATTGCCTATACAGCCAGTTTTGGTGTTGTAGGGCAAACCGTAAACATTCACGTCGATGACTGGGGGATGAGGAAAGGTCCGCGGTAAGGTCTTCGGCAATGGACGTTCCCGCTGTTAAGACGTCGGCGTACTGTATCAGTATTGATTGGTCTTCCGTGTGTTCCCACTGTCTGGCGTGCTGTTTCGGATGCCTGCATGAAGGGATTCTGTACATGCTGTCGCACAACATGGCGGTCCTGTCGTCTTGTGGTCACCCTCGGTCTGCCAGTACGGGGGCGGTCATTTGTGGTGTTGGGGCCCGGAAACGTTGCTGCAGCCTGTAGATGGTCCGAACGTTGACCTGGAAGTGATTTCTAGCGCCTGGTTCCTCTGAGCTGTCGTGAGTCGCGGCGTCCTGCTGACGTTGTGATGTGAATGTTTCAACCAGGTTTGGGGGTGCATTTTACAGGGCTGGTCCGTGTGAACAGCACGTGCAGCATGCGTTGCATGGAAAACATGGAGAACACCGAGTTAGGGAAGGCATGTCTTTGCTCAGATAGAGTTGGAGATGTTGTCAAAAAACATACAATCAAAACATTAAATGAGTTTACAGTTATGTGTCTCTGCGAAGGAAAATTCCAAACTGACATTTCTTTTACTGCTTAGTATATTTCCCTCTATATGGGTCCAAATAATAATGAACTCCATTCACTTGGTGAATGCTCATAGCGCTAACAAATATAACCTGATTATTATTACCCAGGATAACCCCAAGCTGTCCATGAGGCGTTTGAAGGTAATAGTCACATGACTTATCCAACCGGGTACCCATTTTCAGCTGGGTGAACAGACGCAATTTTGAGCAAACAGACTTGCCTAAGGTAAGACCACATTGTGTCATGTGTGCTTAGTTGCGGGGAAGGACTGATGTCTTAGAAACTTTAGGAGTCAAGCTGCCAACCATGGTCATCCATACAAGACTCTCCACACCCAACGTTGCTTAACTTTACCTGACTTGTGACCTGACCTCTATGCACAGGATCACGCACCACTACGTCCATGGCAATACTGTGTCCCCTTCTCATCCAATGAAAATACTGGTATAATATGTAAATGTAGTATTAACTATTACTGACTGTGAGAGGCAGACTGAGTCCAAGTGGGCCGAGAATCTTGTCTGCCCAGGAACCTGCAGCAATGACAACACTAGCAGCCTCGTACGTCCCCTTGGACGTCGTCACCGTCACTGTTGCCCCGGGGTGGATGGCCATCACAGGCTCACAGTCACGTATTTCACCGCCTCGCTGGCGGAACACCGTCTGAATACAAACAAAATGGAAGTTATTGCTAATCTTTAGATCTGTTGTGTCCAAGATTCGCTAGAGGAAGACAAGCATGTGCAGTGTGATCTTATGTATCTGATGACAGACAGGAAAACTAGTATAGAGTGAGGTACCAGGATCCAATCAATTTCAGTCATACCAATGGGTAGATTAAGTTGGTTTAGTTTGGTTTGTAATGCCCTAACAAAGTGACTCACTTGGTATGCCCTGACAAAGTGGCTCACTAGGTATGCCCTGACAGAGAGACTCACTAGGTATGCCCTGACAGAGAGACTCACTAGGTATGCCCTGACAGAGAGACTCACTAGGTATGCCCTGACAAAGTGACTCACTAGGTATGCCCTGACAGAGAGACTCACTAGGTATGCCCTGACAGAGAGACTCACTAGGTATGCCCTGACAGAGAGACTCACTAGGTATGCTCTGACAAAGTGACTCACTAGGTATTCCCTGACAGAGCGACTCACTAGGTATGCCCTGACAGAGACTCACTAGGTATGCCCTGACAGAGCGACTCACCAGTAATGCCCTGACAAACAGACTGACCTGCAAACCTCTCAGAATACAGTCGGCCTTGAGGAGTCCCCCTTTGTGATCTAACAACCCGACATGGTCTTGTGGGTAGGACAACATGGGGTACCTCTTCTTCAGCTCCTCATCGGCAAGGACATCCACAGCACCACCCACATTGGTCAGAGCCTTCTTGACATCACACAAGTAATCATCATTCTCAGGACCAATACCAAGAGCTCCACAGTTTCTGAAGAATTGGCAGTGCCAAGGTTATCGTACATTCCCATTTTCTGTCACAAGTTACTCATTTTGTACTCTCATTAAGTGAACTTATGTCAATGAAAGTGAAACATATTTTCACTATGTCGAAATTTACATGTTTCTTGCCCCATTTCCATTGGACACACCCCTCTCCCTATCCAACCCCCTTTCCCCTCTCTTACATCCACAATTCTGTTCCCGTCTCTCTCTCCAGCTCGGCCAACATCTTGAAGGAGTTAACCATCATGTGGGTGTAGTACTGTTCCCTGTAGCCGAGTTTGGTCATCCGACTGAGGCCATGGGAACTCCCTCTGGAGTGTAGGATGGGGAACTGCAGCAGAGACACAACATGGTGCAGACTCTCCTCTCACTTGTATACTGGACATGTTCTTGGTGGATGAGGGGCGGTGGGGTAGCCTAATGGTTAAAGCGTCCGCTCGTCACGCCTAAGGCCCGGGTTCGAATCCCCACATGGACACAATTTGTGAAGCCCCTTTCTGGTGTCCCCCGCCGTGATGTTGCGGGAATATTGCTAAAAGCGGCGTAAAACCAAACTCAGTCAGTCAGTCAGTCTTGGTGGATGCATGTATGGTTATCTGATGAACATATGTTATCGTGAAACGTTCTGAAAAAATATACCACTCAAAGCTGGCCAAGGATAAAATTTGGATGTTATCTTACTTTCATGTAAAATACCTAAATTTCATTGGTCAAGGACGCTTTTACAAGTTTCTGTGTCACCCCTCCTGGGAGGGTGACAAATGGAAAAAGAAAATTACCTGCTGCCACGGTAACCGCCAAACTCTCAGCCGCAAAGCGGTATCGCTAACAATCGTATGACGTCATAATATGACGAATGCAGTGCATGGAGTTCGAAACCTGTTCGATTAGCTGTTTTTGAGTTCACTATGTACACATATATTTTACCGACTTTCACTGCTTTATTTTAACTATTTTATACATTTGCACACTCAGTTTAAACATAATTAACCATTTTATAACAGTCCTAAGCTTGTCAGAATATGTTTCACTGATTTTAAAAATCCAGTCGAGAAACAGACGCCATTTTGTTTACATGTCATATAGACGGTAGCAGTGTTCATAATAAAATAAAATGATACTTTGTACATTTATCATGGCGGTAAGACAATACGTTGCATGCTTCTCCCTCGGGTAATACGGTTTGATGTACGCCTTTTTGTAGCAGTGTCATCCCTTGCCTACAAGCTCTGGTGGCACTGCTACCAGGAGGCGTACATCAGACCGTATTACCGGCTCGGGTAACACTGCTACCAAAGAGGGGTACATCCGAACGTATTACCCTCAACGGAAGCATACAAATTATAATATCATTTAACTCTGAGATTGAATATCTCTGTTACAGTGTTGAGGTAGAATCATTAAAGGTCACATGCAACCAAAAAATCAAACACAATTATCACTTATTCATGACACATAATATACATTGCTGGTTATGAAAAAACACATAAACAAAATTATAAGCGTACGATCGCAAATCAAAAGTGTAATATAGTGTACTTGGGTTTACTTCCCAAGAAACGAAGCAGCCGGGATACCGAACCCAGTCAGAGCGGGTGGGTGTGCACTCAAGTTTAACGGCTGGTTCATTTGCAGATGCCCTCACGGCTCATTGTGTGTGTATATATAGAGATGTTGGGTTTTGTAAATACATGCTCATTTTTGTGTATAACATTTTGCAATCAACAGACATCATAACATGTCATGTGTTCAAGTATCACACCTGCCTGTCTGTGTAATCACATAATGTGACAGAGACCGAACTCGGGCCATAAATCAAAGAGTTTTGTTTATGGTGTATAGCCTGATTGGTGTTAAGTTCAAATTGCATGTGGTCAGTGATCGCAGTTGTGTATTGAATATTGTCATTAGCAGACAGGCAGGCAGACACACAGGTGTCAATAAAACAAGACATTGAGTTTTGTCTGTGACAACGACATATCTATATCACAGTTAGAAATTCTGTCAACGCTAAATAATGACATTGCTTTTAAGTATCGAACTGAGAAAGTGACTCTGTAAGAAGAACGTGTGGTGAAATAGACAAATGAAATTATATACAGCTTATTTACTGTCATAACATATAAAAAGCTCGCGCCTGTGAGATATCAACAAAACATTAGGAAAATAGCTAACACCAAAGCCTTCACCGAGTATTCACCGGACAGCCCGCTTCCAAGTTGCGCGAACCTATTTCACTGCGCACGTTCTATGAGCGCAGCCCAGCTGTTGAAACCAGTTTTCCCCCGAAAAGTCGGGGGAAAATTAGTGAATCGTTTGAACTCCGATTTCGCGCGGTTTTTTTCATCGCGTTATTTTTCAACTTTATAAGTTGAATTTGCAGTTTTGATGATTTGTTTCGGTAAGTCCATACCGAAAGGTATCAGAATCTGCAAAGTTGTGTTTTACGTTGCATGTGACCTTTAAGAAACTTGATTGGTATACACATAATAAATATAGTTGTGATTAGGCTGTACAGGAGTCAAAATGGACAAAATGGAGGACACTGTACAAACAATGTAGGACTCCTGTACAGGATTAACACTGATACTGACATACCTGCTCCAGGATAAGGGTCTTCCTTCCCTTCTTCGCGAGACTGTAAGCCGTGGAAGACCCCATCACTCCCGAACCTATCACGATGACGTCATACACTTGCTCGGCCATTTTGGATGCACAGACTTCTAAGTTTCTTAAAGACAGATATTTTAATTTTCAGGAAGTATGAATGTCAACACAAAGAATTTGTCATAACAGTCGAAATGACACTATACTATATTGAAATCCCTGATTCATAAATGAATAACTGACACAACTTAAGAAATTCAGTTTTTTAATTCAAATAATAATATTACAGTTTTAGGGCAGAGAAGGGTGAACATTATAAACAGTTGGGGGTTGTATCTTCAGCTGGTTTTGACCTTGATCTTGACCTACAAAGGACCCTCATTACCAAAATATAAGGTCCTCATTGGAAGGATGAAGGTACACTATCCATGATTATCAGACATCGGGTTAGAATTGGTTTTCAGCAACCCATCAATGTAAGATGCAACTCACTGAATGGGTGGTCAGACTAGCAGAGCTGGTTGACACATGTCATCGTATCCCACTTGCACAGATTGATGTTCATGCTGTCACAAGTCTTTCACAAGTCTGACAGATGCCATATATAATTTGTTCTGCACCCATTCTGTATATATTTCTGCTTCACGTCAATAATACAGTCTGGACTAAACAATCCAGTGATTGACATCATGAGCACTGATCGACGCAATTGGGATACATGAACCAAGTCAGCGAACATGACCACACGATTCTGGGTTGGAACTCTGCTGTTGTTGATGTCTACGTATCCTGAATATGTGCACATATATATACGTTTTGAAAACATCAGATGTCATTGCGCAGAACGATGCTCATGCTGTTGATCACTGGAATGGTCTGGCACAGGCTTGATTATTTATAGACCGCCGCCATGTTGTTGTAATACTGCTGCGTGCAGTGTTAATCAACAAACAAACAAACATAATCCAAAACAACATAAATGTATTTTCCCGAACAAGTCAAAATGTCAGATTTTACTGCACCTTCAACCGGTCCATGATTACATGGATGGGCTGCTTGCTGCCTTATCTTTTAAAAACCAATATTCCCTTGCTAAAGACTTACAAGAGGAAACATATGTCGAGTAACCTCGAACTAAAATAGTATACTTGACATAAAGTGCCACATACGAGAAGGTCCACGAAATGCTACAATGTCATGATGACATGTGGGGTTGATGCACATTGAAAGTGGCCTGTCTGGTCTGACAATAGACTGGGAACGAGACACGATCACAGCCCACTTGAAAAGCATCTTAAAACTATGCCCCTACCTTCAACGACAGGGATCAACCCAGCTGTGGTCTCCTCCGTCTGCCACACAGTGAGAAGCACTGTTTACAGGCCGATCGACTGAAAGGTCAAGGCTCTTCTCTCGATGACATACCGATGGCAAATTAAACGGGATTTTGATATGTAGGTCAGCTGTTGTTATGACGGGATGACAAAAACAGCGATTTTGTTTCAAACTGTTTGCATTTCTCGCAAAGTCGGTCATCGCTAGTCTTGTCATCCCTGCTGTTTTCTCGGTGGAACACATGACGACAGAGTTACTTCCCTTAGAGCTGTCCGGTTGTCTTGAACATCGTTCCGCGGCGCTTCAGAACTTAAGTAAATCATGGGCTTCACCAAATAACAAACACAACCTGAATCGTATATGCTGTCGCAGCCCTAAATGTGGCAAACTGCTTGTCAGTCAAAACACTCGAACATAATTAGACACAATTAATCACTGATTGGTATTCGCTCCGTTTGATATGCAAAATTCCGAGTGATATTTCCAAACGTCGTCGGGTGATATTCCGAATGTCTTGGGGCAGTGGGCTACGCTGGATTCCAAGGAATCAACATCTGGTATGTAGGTACCAGTACTTCAGCGTTGAAACTTATTTACCGTCTTTTTATCATAAGGTGAGGTGAAGTGAGGCGAGGTGAGTTTAACGTCGCACTTAAGAATATTTCGCTCATATGACGACGTGCAAGCGTGTACATTGTGGCTGCTTATACTAGCCCATACTTAGGGACCGTTCATAATTTATGGCCCGTATGTGTGTGTGCGTGTGCCTGATGATGATGATTTTAAGGGGGTTCCCCATTTTGTTCTGGGGAGGTAAGGGGGGTTCAGTAATTTTGTGCATAAAAATATTAAAATATTATGCTTAAAAATTATGGGAAGGAGGAGGGGGGCATTGATTTTGTACATGATATGCAAGGGGGTTCACTTACTTTGTACGTAAATTTTAGGGTGGTGGTGGTGTCATTCGCATTGTAAATGCTTCTGCCGGCTGACTGAGATACCATGACGCAGTGAAGCATGAATACCTCACTCAGACACATTATACTGCCTCCGAGCCGACCATTCCTTGTTGTACCCATTAATGCCGAGCGCCAGGTGGAGACCAACAAGTACCATATTTTAACGTTTTTGGGTGTGACGCAGCCGCGGATCGAACCCGCGACCTTCCGCTCTCCTAGCGGACGCTCTACCCACTACACTACACTAACCGTCTGTGCCTTATAAGGACTTACATATCAAATCAATGAAATAGTTAGTCCTTGATAAAAGGTTGCGTACCCCCCTAGAGTTGTAGAGTATGACTCGAGTATTCTTTTCTATTTTAACAAACCCATGAAGAACCCGATTAGAATTGGTCTTCTGTAACCCATGCGTGTCGTAAGAGGCGACTTACGGGCGGGAGGTCAGGTTCGCTGACTTGATTGACACATGTCATCGTAACCCAGTTGCGTACATCCATGCTCATGTTTTTGATCACTGGATTGCCTAGTCCATACTCGACTTTTTAGACTGCCGCCAGGTAGAATATTGCTGAGTTCGGCGTAAAACTAAGCTCACCCAATTCTATTTTAATAAACATTTGTTCTTAAGGCTTATACACGATACGTAAAATTAATAATCATTCTTAAAAGCACGTGAGGGTCACCAACTGATCTGACATATACTGAGTCAAAAAAGAAACTTCACATTCTTTCTTCAGGGCACTATAAAAGAACAAGAGATGGTAAGATGGTTAAATTGTTATTATTTCATTGCTGAGATCTGTGTGATGTACTCGATACACTGACAGTGCCATAATCAGTTCCATTAGGCTACAGCGCCGTTCCAAAACATGGGTATGCAGAATGTCAAGTCACAAGAATAAAAATGCGAAATTTCTCAGTTCAATATCGTGTATGGCCGCCCCGCGCATTCACCACTGCCAAACACCGTCTCCTCATCGACTGCCTGATCCTTGTGAACACGTGGTTGGGGATTCTGCGCCATTGCTCTTGCAAGGCAGCGCCAAGTTCCTGCAAATTCTGAGGTTGGTTCCTAAGACCACGAAGCCTTCTCCCGAGTGCATCCCAAACGTGCTCTATTGGATTAAGGTCAGGGGACCTCGATGGCCAGTCCATGACGTTGATTCCAGCGTTTTGAAGGAAATTTCGTGTCAACATCGCGGTATGCGGCCGAGCATTATCATGCTGGAACTGTAGACCTGGGCCATGAGCTGCCATGAAAGGAGCGAGTTCAGGGGTGAGCACCTGGTCGCGGTAAGCAGCAGCTGTGAGGTTTCCACGGATGACCAGAAAGTCGGGAACGGTTGTTCCCACAGAAAGCACCCCACACCATGCAACTTCCGCCCCCGAATCTGTCGACTTCCTGTACACAACATTAGGGCATACCGTTCACGACGTCGTCTCCAGACTCTATGCCTGCCGTCCGCGAATCTGAGGGTAAACCTGGATTCATCGCTAAAGACGACTCGATTCCAGTCTCTCTGGGTCCATCGGAGGTGACGTTGGGCCCACAGCAGACGTTGACGTTGATGAAACGGCGTCAATATTGGCCCACGATATGGACGTCGAGAATGGAGATTGGCAGCCCGCAACCGATTTCGAATGGTCTGTGAGGACAGTCGACCTCTAAACATCTCAGCCCTGGTTCGTGTAGCTGGCAGAAATCTGTCACGTAGGTGACGTAGGACGATTTGACGGTCTTCTGCTCGTGACGTCACACGTGGACGACCCGGCCTTGGGCGATCAGAAGTGGTGCCAGTTTGTTGTAGACGACCTCACAAGTCATACACAGTACGACGGTTGCATCCCATTGCTCTTGCGACGTCAATAACTGATCTTCCCGCTTGCAACATGCCAACGGCACGTTCACGTTGCACATTTGACAATCGTGGCATTTCAAGTACCGTTAGAACTGTGGTTTAAAAGTGTTTTTTCAATTCTTGAGGCTAATGCAAACACGTGCATATGAAGAAAACATCGATGCGAAGATCACGTGATCGACTGCACGTGCAAAACCTGATTTGGCACTAACGTCATCTGCACGCCGAATGGATGGGTTTGAGTGGGTTTTGCTAACGTTTTTCTAGAGTCGAAAGATAGGGATCCCATTTCGGAGACATAGATGTATCATCAGAGAAAATTATTCATTATTTTTCAAATTACATTTTGTGAAGTTTCTTTTTTGACTCAGTATGCAAGGAAGTACACATCGGGTGCTTTGGTGTAATTGATATTTTTAAAAAATATGACCAAAAACGATGTTAGTTTTTTTATTGTCACGTATAAGTTATAAACATTGTGTACGTGTTGCCAAACAACATATATATGAGATATAGTATTGAAAAATGTATTTTCTTTAACAAAAGCTGTATCGCCGAATTTTATTCGAAATGGCTCTTATATCATGGCTTATTCAAAGACGACTGAATTAATTATATTATTAATGTTTGATAATTTAAAATAATCTTGTACTTGTGTGAATGGTGAGTGAATGGATTGTCTTGTTTCGAAAAATATTCCACCTGTATCCCATCACATTACTGTATATCTTCAGACTGAGCTGTCCCCTGGCTGCTTAGTTTTGACTGTAACAGGGATTCAGAAATAAAATTTAAATTACAAAAAATAAATAATATATATATATAATATATTCGTCCTATTTGAACGTTTCGCAGCAATGATCCTGGGTTCGAATCTGGTTGGTCCTGAATGGGGTTTGTCAGCACCATGCCTTAACCTCCTAATAGAACGCTATTCGGCTTGTCCCGAAATAGCACGAGTGCTTCACAAATGAGCCGTTGTGGTTCGTGAAAGTGGTAAACGTCTCCATTTCTGGAGTTCCTATCCCATCAGACAAGCTCTGAAATAATGTTCCAGGTTGCCTTGAACCGAATTCACTCACTCACTCACTTTCATGAAAGAGTGGTTAAGGTTTAATGTATAACTTGATCTATGTCCTGATGGTTCGGTGTAATGTTTAATATTTATGATATTATAATTACCATCAATGGTATAACTATAATTATTATAGGCAGGATTAATATTTCCGTTGATATCATAGAGGCCGTTTTATGGCACCCAGTAACATTTTTGAATATGAACAGTGTCACACTAGTCCGCGTACACTAGTGCCTTTAAAGGTTACTAAAGCTTACAGAGCTATCAGATGTACTCTCAACCCGTCAACATCCGGGTTACTATTGGTCTTCAGCAACTCATGCGTGTGCATGAAGCGTTTGTTTGCTTGCTTGTTTTGTTGTTTAACCCGACACTGAATATCTCGAATATCCGTACATTATCTAGTCTGGACCAAACAATCATCGTTTCCCGGTTGCATAGATCTTCAGTGCTCATGATGTCAATCATACGATCAAAATCAAACAAATTTAGTAGAGATTATTTAATATCCATCGCTAGTAGCTGTGATGGCAAAGTGAAGACATTGTTCTCCCTCCAGCTGTCATTGAACATAAACAAGGTCAAGTTCTTAATTCCTCCTTTAGGTCATAAAAATGTTGACAGCTTGAATTATAATGTATCTGAATAAGCGTATTTGTGCCTTAATCAACGTAGAAGACACTTTCATCTACGTAGATTATACTTACATCGACGTAGCTGATACTAATATCTACTTGAAAGATACATACATCTACAAAGGCGATACCTTCATCTACGAAGGCGATACCTTCATCTACGTAGCTGATACTTACATCTACGTAGCTGATACTAATATTTACTTGAAGTGAGTGATTCATGTTTTACGCCGCATTTAGCAATATTCCAGCTGTATCACGGCGGGGGACATCAGAAATGGGCTTCATACATTGCACCCATGTGGGGAATCGAACCCGTTTCTTCGGTGCGACGAGCGAACGCTTTAACCAATGGGCTACCCAACCGCCCATATCTATTTGAAAGATATTTACATCTACGAAGGCGATACCTTCATCTACGAAGATTATACGTACATCAACGTAGCTGATACTAATATTTAGTAACTAATACGCGTCCATGCATGTATGTATCAACCGAGAAATTTAAAACTTAAACTTAAATTTAAAATTTAAAGTCATCTATGATTCCAAAGGGTTCTCATAATACTCTGAAATAATGAAAGCATGGCGGCCGTCTTAGAATGGTTAAGCTGTAACCGTTGATGCGATGGACAGAATGAAAGTTTGAGTCAGTGGTACAATACATGGAAAATCTTTGTTAATCAGTTGAAATAATCTACCATCCCCCAAGGCCTAATGGTGCCACTTTGGTAGCATAAATTATATTTTTACTTTGGTGGTATAAACTATATTTTTTATCCCACAATTTCTCGTTATTTCAATTACATGTACTTGAATTTCAAAAACAATATTACAGGACTATGTTTTTCGTAATTCCGATAATTTATTGACATAGACCTGAATATGTGTGAAAGTAATCGAAAAAACGAGAAAGTAATTAAGGAAACGCAAAAAAACCCGGCATTTCGAAATAACAATTAAAATGACGAGACAAAAGTGAAAGCAATAAGAAAAACATTGAAATCCTAAGTTCTTGTAATAAACTTGAAATAACAAAAAAAAAATCGATTTTCGAAAATGTAATCAAAGTAACGAGATTAAACTCGAAAGATCGAAACAAATAAACAAAATATTGAAATGAGAAATTTGGTTTGAAATAAAATAATTTAAACTGCCAATGGTTAAGCTTTCGCACCCATTGTGGTGTCATTGCATCTACTCATGTACTGAATATTGTAACGCTATGCATATGTATTGCATAACGCGACTCGATGAAATACGATATAGCGGTCTACAGTTGGTCGGTACTTAATGCATACACGCATAGTGCTATAGTCTCGCAGCCGTCTTGAACCGGGCTATCTTGAATGGCTTCATGTCGTATTTCGGAACCCGGCCGACAGCCATGTCGCTGAGAGCGTCTCCTACGACTGGCGCCAGTTTGAAGCCATGGCCTGTAATGAAACACATCATAATTACAAATCACAAGATGATATGACCCTTAATGATCCGAGTTGGAATTGGTCTTCAGTAACACATGCTTGTCGTAAGAGGCGACTAACGGGGTCGGGTGGTCAGGCTGCTGACTGGGTTGATGCATGTCATCGTATACCAACTCCGTAGATCGATGCTCATGCCATTGATCACTGGATTGTCTGGTCCAGACTCGATTATTTACAGAACACAGTCATACTTTAAGTTGCTGTTTAACGCCGCACTCAGCAATATGACAGCTATATGACGGCAGTCTAAATATTCGAGTCTGGACCAGGCAATCCCGTGATTGACTCATCATGAGCCTCTATCCATTTAACTGGCCATGGAACTCAACCAGATCAGCGAGCCAAAACACCTCATATCTTTAGTCGCATGTAGTGCATAGTGCCTCTCACAGTGCCTCTGTAAAATATGTTTATTTCAGAGACTTAATGTTAGTCTAGGTTTTCTATATATTTAATGCTATAAATAAGTTGGTCAGTTCATGCAGCTGCTAGTTCCAACGATGTGGAAAGAAAAAGATAGTAGTATTTGGTGCGTTCAGTTTTAATAATTTCCTAGGACAACAAGCTTCTTTGTCATTTAGCACATCGGGGCTCAATTCGTGTACAGCTTGTCAAACTTTCCAGTCTACATCGGTATCACAGCTTCAATGGCCGCCGCACCTGTGTACAGTCTGTCCAAGTTTATAACCTGGCTAAGGCCGCTTCATCATCGGCTTCTAGTCCGCCGTAAGTCGGAGCGACGGTAGTGCACATGCTTGGCGAAATTCGCCTGGTTGAAACTGACACAACACATTGCGAGACACGAAAGGACCACAGACGTTTGCTCAATCTCACGAAGTGTCTTCATATTACAACCAGCCAGTGAAATGGATAAAAGTACGTTCTGTTGATCTTAACTGTTCAGTAAAATAAATAATTCACACTGGGGCCAAATATATGTCAAACTTGTAATACCTACAAATCACCGAGTTTTTAGATTTCATTGTATGTTCAAAATACCTTATCAATTTATAGAATTTTCTAATTTACATACAAAATCAATCGCACTTGCCCAAACTTGAAACAAAATTAGTCATCCCTCATCAATATTCCAAAAGTACGGAAGCCTATTATGGCCATCTGTTTTATTATTATTAACTTGAAATTTCAAGATTGTAAGTTGGAATTTCAAGATGTCGATCTTGAAATTTCAAGTTAATAAGTTGAAATTTCAAGATATTTTATTTGAAATTTCAACTAAATGATAGCGTAAAAAATCTTGAAAATGCTATGTTGAATTTTCAAGTTAATAAGTTGAAATTTTAACATACCACTCACGTAAGATATTGAATTTCACGATTTTTACACGATCATTAAGTTGAAATTTCAAGTAAAATATCTTGAAATTTCAAGTTATTAACTTTTTACAATAGAAAACCCAAAACAGATGGCCCAATTATGCCACCGTACAAAAGTCCATAAAAAATAAAATAAAATAAAATCACTCCAGGACCAGACAATCCAGTGATTGATAGTACGAGTAACCACCCACGCCATGAGCGGAAAACGTTTAACATATTTTTCGTATTTTTTTTCACCTGGCCCGCTCTCTTGCTGGTTGAGGTTAGAGATGAGAAACACACAAAAAATACGGCTGGCCTTATCATCGTTCTTTTTATCAGCGTGGGCGATGATAGGTAACTGTTTATCACTAATGGTGGATAGCGTCACGGTAAACCGATCCGACATATGCAAATGAGCTATAAAGCAGGCACTACTTTTCGGTCCTCTTTATAAATATCATGTATTCTTAATCAATAGATATGCAAATGAGGTAATCGAGCAGGGACTTTTAGGTCCCATACATCGATAGCCTGGTTGATTAATCAACAATCAATAAATTATTGACTAACGTTCCAATACGTTCAATAAAGGTTTACTGATGGTGGCGTTTCTGCACACAACCATGGGTGCTAATAGTTTGGTACCATATGATCAATCGGTTCACACCAACATTGTATTCATACACGCCTTCTAACGCTACTTTGATTGAAAATACATCTAAAATACCATGTATTATCATAATGACGTGATATCATAAAGACATTGTTACCCTCCTGAGTTACCATATAATTAATACGTCGTCTTATGGGATCGCATTAAAAAAATTTCTTACCTCACACATAAATGTCGCTTTCTGATTGGCTGAGCGCTCTTCTATTATTTTCAATGTACCCCGCTTACAAGCAGTAACATTTCAATTTAACCCGCTGTCCAGTGAACAACTTATAGTGTATCCCTGACAGATGATATTCACGGTATGGAAACACATTCGGGAAATAGTGAGTATTGTTTTACGCGCCTTAAGTAATATTCCAGCAATATCACGGCGGAGACACCAGAAATGGGCTTCACACATTGTACCTATGTGGGGAATCGAATCCATGTCTTCGGCGTGACGAGCGAACGCTTTAACCACCAGGCTACCCCATCGCCCCAATTCGGGAAATGATATCTTTATAATGATAATTATTGCTTTGACTACCTGAGAATCCGGCTGCAACGATGATGTTGTGGTGCTGGGGGTGTTGGTCAATGATGAAGTCTTCATCAGGAGTCACCTGCCAGAGAAATGGTACTACTGGACGAAATGCTGCGATCCCCACATTGAATCACGTGGTCAGCCATAATTATTACGCTTGTTTGTTTGCAGTTTAACGACGCACTAAGGCGATGGTCCAGGAATATTCCAGCTATACGACAATCCAGTGATCACCACCACGAGCAATATTCAAGCTATACGACAATCCAGTGATCACAGCCACGGGCAATATTCAAGCTATGGCGGAGGTCTGTAAATAGTCGACTCTTGACCAGACAATTCAGTGATCAAATCAACATCATGAGCATTGATCTACGCAATTGGGATACGATGGCATGTGTCAACCAAGTCAGCGATCCTGACCACTCGATCCGCTGACGTGCTTGACACATGTTATCGTACCTCAATTGCGTAGTTCGATCCTCATGCTGTTGATCACTGGATTGTCTGGTCCAAAACTCGACTATTTACAGACCGCCGTTAAATAGCTGGAATAGTGCTGAGAGAGTTAAACAGCAACGGTGCGGTTCTTTGTTCATTATATCGATCACTAGATTGTCTGGTACACACTTAATCCTTCATCAGACAATCAATATTAGAAATGGTGGACGCTTGGCCAGGATAACTCCAGCAAAGATATTACAGTAGGGCTTCTCACCGTGTATATACACTGTTCTGTGATAGATGGCGTGGGCTCCAGGCCTGGGAAATGTTCCTTTACATATGCCGTGACTCGATCGGTGACCCACTTCCCGTCTGGCTGGTCTCGTGTTTCGGGCGAGATCTCGGGGCCCGTGTGCAATGCTATCTAGATCCCGGGGCAAAGGTATTATTTTGGTTACAAGTTATTGTTTAATGCGATATTGGTACCAATTTATTGTTTAATGCGATATTGTATTAAAATTTGCATATGTGTACCAATGATTAGGGAGGCGTGTATTTGATATTGTAGGGGACATGGTGAGAGTGTTGCTGGCATAGAACATACTTGAGTGAGTGAGTGGTTTAGTTCGTGAGTGAGTGAATGAGAGTGGGTAAGTGAATGAGAGTGAGTGAGTGGGCGGTTGCGTCAGTGACTGAGTGAACGAAAAAGTGAGTGGGTGATAATTAATTAGTTGGTGGGTGGTTACGTGAGTGAGTGAATGAATGAGTAGGTGGGTAAGTTAGTTAGTGAGTGAGTGAGTGAGTGAATGTGTTAATATGCGGGTGCGTAAATTGATAAATATATTTCGTAGTAAGGATTTGTGGGTCGTTGCGTCAAATTTTATATATGATACCACCCGCAAGAACATCGGAGGGTAAACATGTCAGAATAGGCACTTACTTCACTAACTATTTTCCTGTGATGAGTAAACTCATATTAAAGAAGAGTGGTGTACCTTTGCATAACCAGGATATTCGTAGCTTGGCAGCCCCCACATGTCGTAAGGGGGACTCCCGTTGTGCTCAATGTAGCAGGGAAGATGCTGGGCGGAGTGGCTATCTGGATGCAGTTCCTTGCAGTAACACACTGTCACTCTCTGTATCTGAAACATCAAACATCACGTACATCCTCAGTTCCACAGTAAAGTGCGTTTATAAGGAACACGCGCATAACGAACTGACGGATATATCGAACTGTATTTCTGCCCTGACCACTTGCTGTTACATTATTGTTACATTATACTTTAATGGGAGTGTATCAAGAACCATGGTTATAACGAACTAGCGGATATATCGAACTGTATTTCTGTCCTGAGCACTTTCTGTTACATTATACTTTAATGGGAGTGTATCAAGAACCATGGTTAAAGTTAGGGGTTCCTCTGAGTCCGAAGTTAACTGTATTCTGATAAATACCCTCGTCACCATAGCTTAGATTCCATCAGTACACGCGTAGTATCCTGAAGTCTCAAATATCGCCATGGACAGCAGATGAGGGCGCGTGACACGTGAAGACCTATCTAGCCATCTTTAAACTAAAGAATACACGGTTTCCAGATAAAATTTGATAAAAAGTAGTGTTCTGATGGGATTCAACGTGTCCAGGGTTCTTTCGTCAGACGGCCCAGTTCTGGTAATAGAGCCATGGTTCGGGAATGATTTTGATTGGTTGTCGTATTTTAAGGCCATTAGGTGCTAAGTTGCCGATAAGAGACAGTGTGGGTGGGTAGGGTGCAGCGCCGCATTTAACAGCGTTCAAGGTTTATCAGGGCGTGTCGGCTTAATGCTGGAGGTGATGCAGAAAATGATGCAGCCCTTAAACTTTTAGCACTTTGGTGAAACCCACAAGCATGGGTTGGTGCTGGCAAACCAAGAAACATATTCGGTGCAAACAGGGATTCGAACCAACAGGTTTATTGCTGACCCAAGGGATATTGTATTCGGACTTGTGCACTGTGACAACTTGAAATTGATGAGCAGCATCAGACTCACACCTGACCTTCGCATGGCCCACATCCGACTCATACATGACCTACATGTGACCCGCATCCGACTCAGACACTACATGTGACCCACATCCGACCACACCTGACCCACATCCGACTCACACCTGACCCACACCTAACCTACATCTGACTCGCATCCGACTCACACTGACCTACATGTGACCCTCATCCGACCAACACTTGACACACATCAGACACACACAAACACACAGGCACACCCTCACACACGCACTAGCTCAACATGACGTCTAAACGCTAATACCGTGACGGGCAGATTGAGTCCAAGTGGGCGGAGAATCTTGTCTGCCCAGGAACCTGCAGCAACGACAACACTAGCAGCCCGGTACGTCCCTTTGGACGTCGTCACCGTCACTGTTGCCCCGGGGTGGATGGCCATCACAGGCTCACAGTCACGTATTTCACCGCCTCGCTGGCGGAACACCGTCTGAATGCAAAAAACATAGATATTTGGTGTAATGAAATACCGACCCAGAGACAAGCATAAGGTACTGGGGACAGTGTTTGCCCTTAACCCTGAAAAGCTGCGCGCCCTGAGGACCCAGAACCATAAACAGAATGATCAGAATGTGTAGGCACTGTATTTTAGCTACAAAATAAGTAATTCCCAGCAAACACAAAATGTGACAAAATTAACAAACTGTGTGACTGACTAGTCTTCATTTAGAACAAAATCAACATCCATGTCAAGATCCAAGTCTTCTGAAAGGTCTGAATCAGAATGTTCAGACAGGGATATTTCAGAGCAGTCACAGTGAGTGTCATTGGGTATGAATGAGCTGTCGGCCATAAGGACCTGCAAAAAACAAAAGCTGTGGGTCCCAGTGGTGTTAAGTCGGCTTTGGGCTAAAGGACCGACGTTAATTTCGAACGCTGACTGGGGACCAACTGTTCCCGGAGATATGAATGTGAGACAATGTATGAGGTATCGGGGACCTACTGTATCCTGGGATAGAAATTGGTGACAATACATGAAGTACTCAGGGGTGGAAATAACCCATTGCCCGACGTCCGAGTCCAGTGTTTTTTTCTGTCGGGCAAGCAAATTTGTATATCACACTGTACCGGTGTCCAGTTGACTTTCCAATGTTTATTATGTTGTTTATTTAAAAAATCAGCAAGAAAACGGTTGGTATAGTGGGACAATAATCAGGGCAAGTGACTTTACATGTGCCACTGTACCGGAGTACACTAGCAATTTTAAACTTATTTCCACCCCTGAGTACTGGGGACCAGCAGATATTATTTGAGATCATTTAAGAAAAAAAGAAGGAGACAGGTTTTCACCCTGTCGTACACCATCTTGAGAGATGATATCATCAGAGAACTGATTATTTCTTAATAGTAATGTTGGACCATGTTTGAAAGAGTTCTTAAATATGGGACAAATGTATTGATAAAATGACTCATAACACTCAGACTGACCTGCAAAGCCCTCAGTATGCAGTCCGCCTTCAGAAGTCCCCCTTTCCGATCCAACAACCCGACATAGTTCTGTGGGTACGACAACATGGGGTACCTCTTCCTCATCTGATCGTTGGTGAGGGCATCGACCGCAGCACCCACCCTGTTCAGAGCCTTCTCGACGTCACGTAGGTAATCATCGTTCTCAGGACCAATACTTAGAGTACCACAGTTTCTGAAGAATTGTGAATGAAGGTTATTGTATGGCGATTCTCATTTTACCCATATCTGTTCAGTAAATTGAATAACAAATATGTAAGTATAATGTGACTAAAACTATTTCCATGATCATAATCCATTTTTATTTATTTTTTGTATGTCAGCATAATAATTATGCATCTGACTATGAATCAGTATCTGACTATGAATTTCTATGAATTCATTAGGTTTCTATGAATTCATTAGGTTTCTATGAATTCATTAGGTTTCTATGAATTCATTAGGTTTCTATGAATTCATTAAGTTTCTATGAATTCATTAGGTTTCTATGAATTCATTAGGTTTCTATGAATTCATTAGGTTTACTGTGCTACCGCTACTGTATTGACAACCGTCACTGACACATGCAAATTCGAACACGCCTCTCTCTCCTTCTTACATCAACAGTTCTGTTCCTGTCTCTCTCTCCAGCTCCGCCACCATCTTAAAGGCGTCCACCATCATGTCGGTGTAGTACTGTTCCCTGTAGGCGAGTCTGGTGATGCGACTGAGGCCATGGGAACTACCACGGGAGTGGAGGACGGGGAACTGCAACAAATCGGATGTGATTAGAATGTATGGACGTGATGAGAATGTACGGGCGTGATGAGAATGTACGGACGTGATGAGAATGTACGAAAGTGATGAGAATGTACGGAAGTGATGAGGATGTACGCACGTGATGAGAATGTACGGACGTGATGAGAATGTACGGGCGTGATGAGAATGTACGGGCGTGATGAGAATGTACGGAAGTGATGAGGATGTACGCACGTGATGAGAATGTACGGACGTGATGAGAATGTACGGGCGTGATGAGAATGTACGCACGTGATGAGAATGTACGGAAGTGATGAGAATGTACGGAAGTGATGAGGATGTACGCACGTGATGAGAATGTACGGAAGTGATGAGAATGTACGGAAATGATGAGAATGTACGGAAGTGATGAGGATGTACGCACGTGATGAGAATGTACTGACGTGATGAGAATGTACGGAAGTGATGAGAATGTACGGAAGTAATGAGAATGTACGGACACAATGAGCATGTACACAAGTGATGAGAATGTACGGACACGATGATAATGTACGGACGTGACGAGAATGTACGGACGTGATGAGAAGGTACGGAAGTGATGAGAATGTACGGACGTGAACATAATGTACGGAAGTGATGAGAATGTACGGACGTGAACATAATGTACGGAAGTGATGAGAATGTACGGACGTGAACATAATGTACGGAAGTGATGAGAATGTACGGACGTGAAGAGAATGTACGTAAGTGATGAGAATGTACTGACGTGAAGAGAATGTACGGTCTGATTAGAATGTCCGGACGTGTAAAGAGAGTACACACGTGGCCACATGGCGATGTGATGAGAATGCACGGCGTGATCACAATGCATGGACGTGGTGAGAAGGCACAGCGTGATTAGAATGTACGGGTAAAGACAGTACGGATGTGATGAGAGTGCAAGTACGTGATGAGAATGCATGGGCGTGATGAGAGTGTACGGACGTACTGAGAGCGGTCACATGCTATGAGATGCGTGGATGTGATAGAGTACAAGTCACGATAATACAGTACAGACGGTGGTAGGCTGTGCGGGGATCAAGGGTGCATGGGTGATATGAATGCGACAACAGGAGACGAGACAACAGCTGTGGTTAGCTGTACAGAATCAACAGTGATACAGACATACCTGCTCCAGGATGAGGGTCTTCTTTCCCTTCTTGGCGAGACTGTAAGCCGTGGAAGACCCCATCACTCCCGAACCTATCACAATGACGTCATACGCTTGCTCGGCCATTTTGGATTTGGAGTGTACACAGCCTTTTCTTTTTTCTCTAGAAAACAGTTGTTATAAGATTTCAGAAATCACATACATAACCGCAAAGCATTTGTTATACTAGCCTAAGTGAGTCTAGTACTGTATAAACATCCTGATTAATTAATAATAGGTTAAGCATTTGAGGTATTGGAGAAACAACTGATCGATTAATCAGTCAGTTGATCGATCACGCTTGCGTCAGCGATTATCGATGAGCTCGTGAAACTAATGGATATTCATAAGAAATGGACCATTAAATTCAACTTTAGAAAGTATGTTTCTTTTTGTTGTTTTTTAAATTAAGACATAAACAACTGATGCCGTTTTCCGACTCGTAAAACTGTAATGTAAACATCATATTCAAAGGCGTGTGTCGCGACTCTCAACAGTAAGTCTCCTAGTATGTCTCACAGTCCCTGAACCACATTACTTTCCCTACTGCCTAGCCCACCTTGCAATGCTAAAGCCCTAAATTAAGCAAGTCTAGATTTCCCCAGGTTATCTCTGGTCTCCCTGGGGCTCCTTTTCAATTTAAATGGGTTTATTTTTACAATCAAAATTATGTATATTCAGAGACTAAGCGTTAGTCTATAAGTCTATATCCTCAATCGTCATGATCTCGGCGTCTGTTTTGTTTGTACAGTGTTATGATTGTGTTCCGCCATTGCCTTCATGAGTTTTGTGGTAGGGTTTACAATTACAGTCAATTATTGTTCTTCTAATGAGTTCCGATTATCGATCTGCATATTCTGAGCGATAACCATCACTATGAGCGGGTAATGAAGGTTACGTATGTTGATTGTGTCCACTGATATTTAAATATACGTGACATCTGGTGCTGTGTGGTTAGCTTCCAGTTGGGTAAACCATTCTCTTCACAATTTGCGATTTTATCACGTTTTAATCAGGCTATAACTAAACGTCCATGGATTGTCGGTTGACTGACTGACTGACTGACTGAGTTCGGTTTTACGCCGCTTTTAGCAATATTCCAGCAACATCACGGCGAGGGACACCAGAAATGGGCTTCACACATTGTACCCATGTGGGGATTCGAACCCGGGTCTTCGGCGTGACGAGCCAACGCTTTAACCACTAGGCTACCCCACCGCCCCGATTGTCGGTTGAATGCATTGTGATTTAAAAACAAATGTACAGGCTACAATAGAAGTCTGTGTTCGGAATCGATTTGTTTACAAACAACATCATACAGCTGTAATACTGCTGAAACAAATATCTGCTCATGATATAGTCACGACTGTACAATCGACTCTGCTTTTGGCAGAGATTTCTTATGAATGTGGAAAGGGTTTTGTCGCTTCTATCTATTGACACATTCGGTAGTGAGCACCCTCAATCTGGACTTTGGGTGCAGTAAAGATTTTGGTGTCTATGCACTGGACAGCAGGCGGACGGTCCGCGATCGATCTTATTGCCGACACATTCAAACAAAACGTTTGATATACATCATGGCTGTGACCCCTACCTTTCGCAGCAGGATTTGACCAGCTGTGTAGTCTCGGATGTCCACGAGCCCTGCGAGAAGTGTCATGCAGTGTCGCTGTGGAAACTGCCCCGATCGTCTGACGCCGGGTCAAGGCTGTTTTCTCAATGACATACTTATGACATTTACAAGCGGACCTTCATAACTAGGTCAGCTGGTGGGGTGATTGTAAGCTACAGACATGAGGACAAATAAAGTTTTCTTTCATTTCGCGGCATTAACAAATGTCGGCCAGTGACCCAAATTGGATGAAATAGTAATGCTACTGACGGCAGCTAGTTGAACAGAGTTACGCCCCTTAGTTTCCAGGTGTGTCTGAACAACAATGCTTGGTCCGCCTCACGACAACAGGTGATATCTTTAGACTCTTATCACTAACGTCTGCTGAAGTGCTCTGGTACTACAGATGTGTACCCCGGGTACGTTTCTGTATACAGAAATGTACCATAAACAAAACAGGGGCGTAGCTACCATTATGAAAAAAGCCTGGGCTTACACATGATTTTGCTATGAAAGTTGGACAAGCCCTCAATGCTATCAAAATAAATATAAAGCTTTGCAAGCCATCGGGCTTACACGAAAAAACATGGCCTGCAAAATCAAAATATACAAACGTAACCGGTGCGCTAAACGGGAGGCGAGTCCATACTCTGCAATCCAAAATCGGAACCGTATGTAGTTGTTCCCGGTTTAACATAGACTAACATCTAGTCTCTGAAATGAACATATTTTACAGAGAAAAAGTTCATAGTAAAAAATATAAAATGTAATGAAAAGGAGCCCTGAGACTTTCTTCATTTTCAGACTTGCTTCATTTTCTAAACTTGTGTGGGCATTCTTGGATATATTTGCTTCAGGGTCTGTATCACAGACTAGTTTAACATACTGCAAGTGGTATTATGCTTCGCGAACTATTTGTTACCGTGTATGCTTGTTTTCTGTACAACGCAATTAAATGCATCTAGTATAACAGTATGACGGTTCCGATCAATAAAAGGACACAGTATGGACTGTACTCGTCCTAGGGTACGCTTCTGTGAGTGAGTGAGTTTATTTTACGTCGCACTCAGCAATATTCCAACTATATGGTGGCGGTCTGTAAATAATCGAGTCTGGACCAGACAATCCAGTGATCAACAGCATGAGCATCGATCGGCGCAATTGGGAAGCGATGGCATGTGTTAACCAAGCCAGCGAGCCTGACCACCCGATCCCGTTAGTCGCCATTTACAACAAGCATGGGTTACTGCACATTCTAACCCGGACCTTCACGGGTTGGTACGCTTCTGTATTCAGGTGAGGTGAGGTGAAATGGGGTTTAACGTCGTATTTAAGAATATTTTCGCTTATATGACAACGTGCATGCGAGTGTATGCGTGGCTGCTTGTACCAGCCCAGACATAAGTTGTTTTATAGTGCTAGCTCACTGAGATACCATGCCGCAGTTAAGCATGAATACACCACTCAGACTCCGAGCTGACCAGTCCTTGTTGTACCCATTTATGCCGAGCGCCAGACAGGGACCTACAAGACCATATTTTAACGTCTTTTCGTATGACACGGCCGGGGATCGAACCCGCGACCTTCTGCTGTCCGGACGGACGCTCTAACCACTACACCACGAAGGCGGTCTCCGTATTCATAGTGTTGCTCGGGTCTGATTATCAGGCCCAGACAAGTTTATTTACAGACCACCGTTATAATAGCTGGAAAATTGATAAATTGCAAACAAACAAACCGTTGCCAACGACTAGGACTATTTTCTCTCAAATAAAGCAGTGATGTAACGGAAATCAACGCAGAGAAAGGTTACAGTCTAAAAAAAATAAAATAAAATAAAATGAACGTTAAGAATTTATGAAAATGAAAACTAAATATCAAAATATGTAACCATTATTCGTGCCAAACCCATGTATCCAATATTATCTTTATCTGTAATTATGCTTTTGATATCAATAACAGTGTAACTGTCATTATTATCATCAGGAGCAATATTATCGTCCTTATCATAATGAACTCTTTTCAGTGCTGTTTCCTTGTGACACAGTCATTTGTGAATAAATGATAATCTCGTACTCTGGTACGAGTACACTCAACGTTCTTTTAACGCTACGCTTACGATAATCTATCAGTAAGGACAGCGAATTTCAGTGTTGCTTCAGAATGAGAAATACTTGCGACATGCGTGAGTTCTACCGCCATGCGTCGTGAGTTCTCTCCCCTGCATTGCAAAGGTAAAACACAGTGATCAGGTGTCACTATTCAGTCCTAAACACATTCCAGGAAATGTACATGGCACTATTCAGTCCTAAATACATTTTAGAAAATGTACATATGTCACTATTCAGTCCTAAATACTTTCCAGGAAATGTACATGACACTATTCAGTCCTAAATACATTTTAGAAAATGTACATATGTCACCATTTAGTCATAAAGACTTTCCAGAAAATGTACATATGTCACTATTCAGTCCTAAATACATTCCAGAAAATGTACATATGTCACTATTCAGTCATAAACACATTCCAGAAAATGTACATATGTCACTATTCAGTCCTAAATACATTCCAGGAAATGTACATGGCACTATTCAGTCCTAAATACATTCCAGGAAATGTACATGGCACTATTCAGTCCTAAATACATTCCAGGAAATGTACATATGTCTTTATTCAGTCCTAAAACCAATCCAGGAAATGTACAGGGCACTATTCAGTCCTAAATACATTCCAGAAAATGTACATATGTCATTATTCAGTCATAAATATATTTCAGAAAATGTACATGTACACCGGTCAATTCCTGAGTGGAGCGGTGAGGTAGCCTAGTGGCTAAAGCGTTCGCTCGTCACGCCGAAGACCCGGGTTCGATTCCCTACATGGGTACAATGTGTGAAGCCTTTATCTGGTTCCCCCACCCTCCGTAATTTTGCTGGAATATTGCTAAAAGAGGGATAAAACTAAACTCACTCACTTCATTTCATGGGTTACCACACCTTCAAGGTACTGGTGATTCTGGCGTCCTGGCATTCGAGATTTGAGCCCAACAGTCTATTCCCGAAAACTGCACTGTGCACTGCTAAGTCAGGGGCGAGGATATCTTTCACGCTCCACAAAGCAATATGTTTTTAATGTATTATTCCCCATCTCCCATCCGCCCTGAATTTTCATTCCGACGCAAAATTATCAAAAAAGTTGTCTTATCTCAGTTTTCCCAGGCGTTGTGACCGTTTATGCCCTGATCCCATAGAAATAGTCAGGCAGGTCAGCTTGATCTTTCTTCATTTGCATCCCTCTAAAATCTTTCCGAAGCAAAGCGACTCGATCTACATAGTACATAAATTAACAGAGTACTAAGATATCTAAATTTTAGTGAAAAGTAATTGCTGAAAAAAGCCATTAATTAATTTTCATATTTATATCTATATGTTTCGCCCGCCCAATCTTTTGTCGGTTGTTTAGGGGCGAAGAGTAGCTTGTTGGTTGAAGCGTTGTTACCTCAAACCGAAGGGTTCGATTCCCAACACTCTCACATACCCCACATACACCCCACCCCCACACGCCAGCACACACTACATACCAAAGCAGATACACATATCACCACCACCCCCACACACACACACACATATTTACACACACTATATACACATCAACAAACACACATCAACATGCACCAGGACACACATCAAAACACACTCACACACGCACGCACGCACGCACGCACGCACACACACACACACCAATATTTTACATCAACCTGCATACACGAACACACACCTCTTAAATTACCGCTCACTGTGAAATTATGTTTTGCGCATCGTTTTGGCAAGTTTTGGCTTGGCCGATAGGCAGGCCTATATGCCAGTATCAGAGTGACAGCTGCTGTTGGACCGTAACTACCGCAGCGCTCCAAGCGGGCAAGGGGACACAACTCCAGGAATGTTCCCCATTGTGTTTGTTCTTATCTTCATCAGCAACGTTTGCTGCGATATTTATTATCAAACCGTAACACGCACTTGCTCGTTCCATCGAGAGACAGCTCGCGATGCTTCACCCATCGATTGCATTTACATATCCGTCATTATTGATTTAATCCTACAACATGGACTCTGTGCTAAGACATCATTATATCATATATTGTATGTCTGATACTTCAAATACTACATCAGATTATGATATATGATGTATCCGTTACGTCAAGAACGACTGAGTCAGTGCATTTCGGTCAAAGCAAACAGACACGATGTACATGTATATGGTCTCTGACGTAACATATCAACTATATTAAGGATCAACTAATCAATGGTATGACAAAGTCAGGCCACATATTTGATCAGAAGGTGAGACAGAATGAAGCAGTGGCGAACACATGGGATCAAACATCATGGCTTAAGTGGAGAACACGTGGGATAAAGCTAGGATGACAACATGAAGCAGTGGAGAACACGTGGGATAAAACTAGGATGACAACATAAGGCAGTGGAGAACACGTGGGATAAAACTAGGATGACAACATGAGGCAGTGGCGAACACGTGTGATCAATCATCATGAAGCAGCGGAGAACTCATAGGATCAACCATCATGAAGCAGTAAGGAATACATGGTATCAAACAACACGTAACAGTGGGGAACACGTGGGATGAAACTATGACGGCAACATGAGGAAGTGGGGAACACTTGTAATCAACCATCATGAAACATCGGGGAACGCGTGGGATCAACCATCGTGAAAAGTTGGGAACACGTGGGGTCACACAAAATGAAATAGTGGGGAACACGTGGGATCAACCATCATGAAGCAGTTGGGAACACGTGGGATCAACAAAATGAAATAGTGGGGAACACGTGGGATCAATCAACATGAAATCTTGGGGAACACGTGGGATCAATCAAAATGAAATCTTGGGAACACGTGGGATCAATCAAAATGAAATCTTGAGGGAACACGTGGGATCAATCAACATGTGAAATCAATCAAAATGAAATCGTGGGGAACATGGATCAATCAACATGAAATCATGGGGAACACATGGGATCAATCAAAATGAAATCATGGGGAACACGTGGGATCAATCAACATGAAATCATGGGGAACACGTGGGATCAATCAAAATGAAAT